GCTGTAAGCAGTGCCAGGAAAACTATCCAGCTGGAGAGCTTGAGCTGGACTCCACAGTGGGAAATCAGTGTAAAAAAACTAGGACAATGGGTTCCCTACACAACCCATGGCTACACAAACATTAATTGTCTATTATTTTACAGGCTGCTTATCTTTTTTAGCAGGAATGGATCCTTGGAATAAACAGGAAAGGGACCCATGAACCATGATCCATGTGACTTATGGTATGCAGGGTCTGGGCTCAGAGGCTTCAACTTTTAAGCTTAGAGGTTCTTTGTGATCAGTCTGACTTCTTCCAGTGCAAGTCTCCCAGGATTACTCACAATCTTGTGACCAGTTACGGGTGGAAATGAGCACTGTCCTACCCAGTGCTTAAGAAGACACTGAAGCCTTAGGCAAGCTGGACAATTTGAAGATGTTCATAGAACACATTTGAAGAACAGATGCATTTGTTTTGAAGGGAAAGAAGTTCTTAGTGTTTCTCTCTCACACCCAAGAGGTATCCTATGTTTTCAACCTTCAACCAACTGCACTGCTTCAAGCCATGGATAAAGCTAGTCCTGTTTCCTTTGACTGACATCTGTAGTCCTTGTGTGCACTTCAGCCCAATGGTTGTTCATCCAAGAACCTTGTTAACTACCCAGTAGCCCTGATAACTTGTCCTAGAGAAATCCCCCTGCCTTTTTGTGCCAGCAGCACTGAAATTTTAACTCACAAAAACAAGCTACATTAGTATGCTTCAAAATGAAGTTGGTTTAAACATTGTAGTTAGACATACTAGGATTTTCTCAGGATTATTCAGCAGTTTTTCACAAAAAAAAACCTGCAAAAAAAAATCTCTGGAGGAGCGTCTGCTTACTGTGCAAGTCAAGCAGAAGGCAAGTACCTCTAGCACACGTTCAGTGCTACCCACGCACCAAACCATTTTCTCTGTTAGTCATCTTTCCCTACCCTCCTTCTAAATGCAAACATTGCTTTCTTAGCACTCACGAAACTCACCTCTGTGCTGTGCCTTACATAAGTGATTTCGACACGGAGCGTTGTGCCACAAGCGCGGTGGACACGTGATCCTCCAGTCAGCCTCTGAAAGCCATCTTACCCCCCAGCACAGCTTCCTGGGTGGGTGTTTGGAACTTCAAGGCCTTTGCAGCACTCCAGGACACTTACACGCCCTTAAAGGGCTTCAGCTTCTTCCTGCGTTGTTCTCGTCTTGTGCTCCCCTCTGCAAGTCCATCAGTCGCACAAGCACAACACTCACTGGGTGTATCTGTCCCCAGCCCTCACACAGAACCAGCATCCCATATATCCATGCACTCATCGTCAATGACTATATGGATTTACCTGTGCCTCTTGCTTTCTCTCCCCCTGCACTGAACTCCCAGTCTGCTCTCATTCTGCTCTGCATGCGTGTAGGGCCCCTTGCACACTCAGCCTGCCTTAAACTAAGAGGCAGATAACTACACATGGCTTAAACCGTCATCATAAACTTTTTCTCACTCCTCATCACTCTTCCCTCCCCCATAAGTGGTTTTCCTTTCTCCCAGGCCCCACACCCAGGTCTGCAATCCTCACCTGTGCTTCCCTCATTTATTCAGAGCATGCTGTGTGCACAAATCTCTCTTATCAGGCACAACTTTTCACTCCTTTCACCTTTCTTTCCACAGCCCTCGCGAGCAGGCACAGGCTGACAGGTACCTTCCTCCCTTACACACCATTGTGTGTCGACCTACGCTGAGCTTCTCACCCCTTGTAACATGAACTGTCATTCCCATTCACTTCCACTTCATGCCCTACAGCTCCCAACTTCACTCTCCTCCCCACAAACTTCACACTTCGCTTCTGACCTTAGCACAGCCATGTGGCTTATACAGCCCTCCAGGTAGTTTTCCCTCCCATTTCTTCTCCTCCCACCCCTTGATATCTTTAGTCATTTCTTCATGAGCACATTTGTTCCATTCCCTCTTGTTGTTTCGCTTCGCCAGTACCTACCACAGAGATATAAACACATTTGCTACGTCTGTTGTAACAGAAAATTGCTCTTCTTTTGTGTGTGTGTGTGTGTGTATGTGTTCTCCTCCTCCCACAGTCTTCACATTATTCCTTACTCACCATTTTTTGCCTCAAATGATTTGCCTGTAACATGTTGCCAGTTCTTTCCCTGTGTTACCCCACCTGCCCAGTCAGGAGGCATCCTCTGTTCTGCTGACCAAACCACTACAGCACCATTGCATTATTTCCTCTCTTTGCCTACTAAACAATACAACCCTAAATTTCCTCTCACCCTCTGCTCTATTGCCCTGTGTCTCCTCTAAACCACCTCTTGCTGAGGCATCTTTACAGAAAACCCAGCTCTTCATTTCTTCCTCATTCATGCCTCCTACATTTCTTACTTTTTCCCCATTCTCATTCTTCTCAACACCTGCCACGTCTTTATATTCTTGTTCACCCTGCCCCTATGATTTCCACTGTCTTGAATTTCCTCACAGCACCTTCCCATGGCTTTTTCTCCAGTTCCATCTCTCCCCTGTATTCAGTCAGCACACTCCAGCAGGTTTCCAACCTCCTCTGAAATTTCTCTAATCAGCTACCCCTTCTCATACTTATGGGACCCTAGATCCTTTTTCCCTCATCTCACCATATCTCCATCCAGCTCATTTTTTCCTCTGCATTCCTGTTCTCAGCACGTTTCCACCACCATGCAAGCCTCCCCTTTCATAGCACCTTCCTTGTAAACACATCCTCGTATCTATTTCTTGACAGAATCAAAGGTGTCTCCTTTTGACGCCCCCCACGAGCATCATGTAGCCGATTATTTTCCATACCTCTCTCCAAATAGCCAATAGTTCACATTTTAATTCCTCCTCCAAACATCCTTTGTGCCCTGAGCTTTCACCTTTCTCCCTCCACTCCCACTCCATACCCAACCTCCCCCTTGCAGACCCTGGCACCCTTGTTTGTCCCTTTCATATCCTCACCCAGCCTCCAGTCTGTACCTTTTGCCATCTCTCTCAAGTGTTACTTCCCCTTCCGAGCTTCTACACTTTTTTCCACCCACAAAGATCCTCTTTTTCCAGTTGACTTGCAGCAGTTTCCCTTTTAAGCCGACCACCTTTGCACAGCTCACCTGCCCTTATCACCCTGATGCACAACAATAATACATAGCACTTTATTCCTGGTATATAACACTTTCCCTTCAGACTCCTTTTACATATCTTTATATGTACAATTTCATTTTTCTTTCCCTGAGGAAAAAAAAAAGAAAGAAAAAACCAAACAACCCACAACAGAACAAACCAAACAAAACCTCCTAAACCTATGTGTTTTGCATGCCTCAACATACAGCACCCTTCTCCACAAAGCACTCCCCTCCTGGCTCTGCTGGTCCATCCTCTTCTCCCCGTGTTTTGGGTCCACCACCTGCAATCATGCCTAGTTTTCCTTCCCCCACCATGCTCACACACAGAGCTCCTGGTACTGACACGTGTATCTAAGACCAGTCTTTTTACTACTAGCAGCTGGAACCATGCTGAACTCCCTTCCATTCTCTGCTGCTTTTGTCTGCCTTGACACAAAGCAAGGCTTTTTTTTGCCTTTTTTTTTTAAATTATTATTAGATTTTCCTTTTTTAGGTGTTTCTTGCACCACTCCTCCACTTACAGGCTTGCACAGATCAGGTATTTCTGTGCCTGAGAATGTCTCTCCTATTTGTCTGGGTATTTTCCTGAAGGCACAACGTAAAGGCAAAACTTTACATACCATTTCCACTCCTCATGCAACAAATCACACAAGCCTGAGAGCAAAGAGTGCTTTCTGAAAGGTTGTAGCTCATAACAATTGTCTGGACCATATAACACACATCCCTGTCTATTTAAAAAGGGGGAAGGGGGGAGAAGCAATCCCCCTCACACACACAGACTCATCTCTAAATAACTGGTTTTGCAATATAGGAACCAGAGAATGTGCACATAGCAGCCCTATTCAATCCAAAATATCCATCTCTCCAGATACTGCATATTTATAGTTCAGGAGATAGGACCAACACAGAGCTTTCCCGTTTATTTTAATGAAGGATTAAGAACTGATCAGAAAACTATCTGAACCATTCAAGGACTTTTTCCCCTCTTGGCTAAGAGCAGTTTGGTGTCTCCATAAGGACTCGCCAGTAACTGACGCTCTAAGCTGCATTTCAGCTGTTTAGATGAGAAACAGCTTTCTATTTTGCTCTCTATATGTGCATCTATGTTGATTAGTTGTACGCTGCATTCCTAGAAGGAACTTACCAAACACTGGAACCTGCAGCGTAGGAATAGTTTCCCTGCCATCCTAGCACAGAGTGAGTGTTTCTTTTCCACCTAGACACAGATGTGCAGGGAGTCTTTTGATCTCCAGTTCCTCGCAGAGAATTTAGTGTTTGGGTTTGAGGAGAATGAGGATTGATTCAGAGGTCATGAATAGGGTTTCCAGGGTCTGGCACGCACGCACACAAAAAAAGAAAGCTCCAGTGAAGCTGGTTACCTGAGACAGACGAGGTCTAGAAATTGGGAATTTTGACTTTGCTTGTCAGGGGCTCTAACTTTGCCGGAGGGCGAGCGTGCTATGTACTGAGGCTGGTTCTTGCAAATCCACGGTCAAGACTTTCAACGCCTTTTGTTATATCTGAACTTGCTCATTTCCCTCTTAAAAAGAAAAGTCTCCCTTTGCTTTTGCCCCTTAAATCAGAGACTCCTTTAGCACCTCGTATTTATCCTCTGCTGTTTTCTTGCCAGGGACCCGAACAACAGCGTGAGGAGCCGCAGGAGAGGGGAACCTCAGGACTAAACTGTAGGGCAAGTAGGGGTGGGGGAAGGAGGAGGCACAATGGGAAAGGCAACATGTGGGACAGATCTACTGCTTACAAGACCCCCACCTCCTCCCCATTATACTTCTTTAAAAGACCCCTCTCCCCCCCTCCCCTCCCCGCCCTCTTAGGACCCTATAAGAAAACGTCAAATTTCCCTTACCGTGGTAGGAGTAACCATGGCATCCGTGTGAATGTTTCCAGAAAAGTCGACATGAAGAGAAAGGTGGATGTAAATACGTTCATTCAAAGTCCCAAAGTTGGTCTGCTTGGGTTGTGCAGAGTTGCTCTATGGGAGAGGAGCCTTAAACTCTGAGTCCCGTGAACATAATCTGCTCGATTATAACAAACCAGCTCAGCCAGATGGCTCTGTGCTCCGTGGATTAACCCCTTTATTGCCACACTCTGCTTTCTCTACCTACCATTTATAATAACATCTCCTGGCTGGGGAAATTCAGAGAATAAGGCATTTTTTTGAAAATGACAAAACCGTTGTAAAGGTCATTTTTCTCCTAAAAAAAACATCTTGTGCCTATTTTCTTTTTTTTTTTTTAAATCCAATTGACGGTCTTATTCCTCTTCCTGGCAAAATCTTTTCATATTATTAAGAACAGTATTAGCACCAGGGAACATTTTGGAGAATTCTTTTGTTAAATCATAACCATCTCTTCCAGACAGCAATTCTCAGAAGATGAGTATTTTATTGCAGGAATGTCTCTGTGTTTGCACTCTAATGGTCCATGCACTCCCCCCACCCCCCTCTCCCCTATGCTCTCTCTGTCTCCCACATGCACACTGACACACATGCACACATTTTGCTCAAACTGCCAGCATGTGCTGCTATTCTTACCCATATTCAGAAGTCATTATAGGACATGTAAAACAGGTGAAATAGAGACACAGAACTAGAATGCCACGAGCTCTCTCGCTCTGGTTCCTCTTTTTGTTTTCTTTTTTTTCTTTCTATCATTTGTGAATCTTAAGACAAATTTATTTCTTTGCTCAGCGTTTCTGTCAATGAAGTCACCCACCATGACACAAAAATAAGTGTTGCAAGAAACACCCACTGTTAAGGACAGACCTTAGGATGGATTTGTGTCCATTCCTCCTGTTTTGACTTGCAAATTAGTCCATTAAGTAAAGGAAGGGAAGTGCCAAAAACATGGAAAGTTCATCAGCAACCAGCAGCGACTGGTTTTTCAAACTTTTTATTTAGAGTGATCACTCACAGAGATGGCTGATAAATTTAGCTGCATGCCTCAAAGTCTCCCTCTAAATTTACATGCTTAAGTCATCTTCTGTTTGATTCAAACATAATTGAGCAAGTCATAACCAAAAGAACGTGGTCATATAAGATGTGATACAACACTTTAAATCTTAAGGGTTGCCAGATTGTTTCCTTAAAGAATACTTCCTTTACTAGCTAATGGAGTTTTTTCTTTTGCTATTTAACTAAAGAATTTTTCCTTTTTCCCCTCCCTGTGTAAAGATGATTGGCCCTCTCATTCTGCCAAAGCATTGTACCATCTTCTTTAAGACATTTCAATCTACCTAGAGAGTCATCACAGTTTTGTTGAAATATTTTCCACCATGGATTGAAATATGGGTGATGTTGATTGTTGTTGCCCTTTACCTGAATTTTTTCAGCCATAGAATTATACTCTCTAGGGACTTGACAATTTGTATCTGTCTCATAAATTCTGCCTGAATCGCTTGTTCCCTTTGACTGCTGAGAAGGAAAGAGTCATCTTCCACCACTGCCTCCTAAGAATTCTCTACTAAAACTTGCTGCTCTGCCAGTCAAAAAACCACTCAAACTTTGAATAATTTCTCGAATCGATGGGTTTTGTATTCACCCTGTGCCTAAATGCTGTTTTCATCCTACTTAGTGCTTTTTCAGCTAAGAGGAGGGAACTAGAATTAAATCCTGTGAGTCCCCCACCCAGCCCTGGTACTGCAGTCAGATCTGAGAAATGCCTAAAATGTGACTCAGCTTTTAATCTCCTGAAGTAGACAAACAGTGCTAGGAATAGAAGAACTTTCCTGTGGCTGGTGAACGTTCCTCTGGAGGCAGGCAAAGGGTTAAGCATGTGAAGGCAACCCTCACCCGGGAACTTCGCATTTGCAGCAAGCCCAGTTAAAAAAAAGAAGCAAAAGGAGAAGTCCAGAAGCAAATGTCCTGGGCAGAGGGGCTGCCTACCTTTGGTGGGAGGCAAACCTATCAGAGCACAAGTGGAGGGGCTTTGCCCTGTGTCTGGGTCTGTGGGCAATCAGAGGCCTTGTAATTTGAGACGTGACACCTTAATCTTGCCAAATACGTGTGCGCTGCAAAAAGCATTGTAGGCAGGGTGTTTTCACAGCTATAGAAAATGGAGACATGTTTGGTCCTTCAGGTTTTCTAACCTTTCTCCTACAGATGTTTCTGTTGTTCAGAAGCTGCTTCTTTCTACATATTTTCACCTTTTTATCCGTTATTCTGGGGGTGGGGTGTTTTTTTCCTGATGCTAACCCTTAGCAGAAACGGATTTCTTTTATGCTTTAAACGTGTTTCTGAATTTTTTATGAGAAGCAATCAAGCTCCAGAATGGTCACCTTATTTCATCTGTTGCCCTTGGGTCTGAGGTTCTGACATGGCAAAATAAAAAAAAAAAAAAAGTTACTTTGAACAAGAACAAGGCTCTGTTCTGCCTTGAAGAATCTGAAATATTGCTCAGAGCATGCTGTGGAAAGTCATCTTTGAATTTTGGTGGTTTTAATTGGAATAATTAGTAGACATTGATCTGATTAATTAGGCACTTGACCAGACTTCAAAACATGTGATATTTTATATACTTTGAAGACATGTATTTTTCTCTGTGCATTAACAGATATTACTGTGATTGCGTTTGATGATAAAAAATTGAATATTTATAGGGAAGATATGCATGTGAGTATGCAAATAGATAAAAATTTTATTGGGTTTAATGCATGCCTTGGGCCATTCGAAAAGCAGGGAGTGTGTGTCATAATGTTTAGCTTTTGCAACAGCACCACTTTGTGGTTGAAATCCCAAATAGATCCCGAAAGGGGAAATGACTGTAGGGACACCATATGAGCCTCAGCAAGTTTGAGCAGTTCCCATGGTGGTTTTATATCCATCGACAAACACATCTGAGATGGAAATATGTTCCAACCATGTGGTCCTCCCTTCATAAGAAGGTAGTTTTGAAGTAAAGGCAAAGAAGAAGAAGAAGCAGAAGTAGAAGATTAGCTCTGAACATTTTGTCTTAGATCTTCAGTGCAGGAGGCTGTTCATCTTTCCAATGTCAAAATCACTTTTGTTCAGGTTTCCAGAATTTATTGAAGGGTCTGACAACACCTCTAGAAGAGATTTCTTACTTGAAATGTGCTGCAAATGCTTCGTTAAAAGTAAAAATGAATTCAAGTATGGTTTTATGTGGTAGAAACGGTGGTGGGAAAGAATAGGTTATTTTAAAAAATATTTATTTAAACATTATGTTAATATTGTTTTAAGACTACCAATGGTGCCATTTCATAGCTGAAAGAATTTCTGAAACGGCATTGGGTTTCTATACAGAATCCCAGAATCACAAGAAAGGGAATGTTGGAAGAGACCACAGAGGGTCATCTGGTGCCACCTCCCTGCTCCAGCAGGGTCATCCCAGAGCACGTGGCACAGGATTGTGTCCAGACAGCTCTGGAATATCCCCAGGGAGGGAGACTCCACACCCTCTCTGGGCAATCAGTTCAGTGCTGGGTCACTGCACAGCAAAGAAGTTCTTCCTCATGTCCAGCTGGAACTTCCTGGGCATCAGTTCCTGCCCGTGGCCTCTTGTGCCATTGCTGGGCACCCCCGAGCAGAGCCTGGTCCATCCTCTGCCCCCTCCCTGCACACACTGACACACATGGATGAGGCCCCCTCTCAGTCTTCTCTTGAGCCATCATATACACTCACATTTGGGTTTTCCTTGCCCCCAGGCTAGACAAGTGAGAAAAATTAAATAAAAATTCCAAGCAGGATTCACAAACAAGGTCAAACTCGGTTCTGATACGGATTTCTTGGATGTTGTCTTCTGCAGTTTTTCCTCTTTCTCAAAAAGAAATAATCTGCTAAATTCTCAAAATAGTTACAACAGCTCATAAGAATTAGCATGGTAGATCAAGGATGGCACAGGGGCAAACAGGTACCCAGAGCTGTGGCCATGCCAAGAGGTAGGACGGGCAAAATGCGTGTAAATAACCAGGAATGACAGTCAGACCCTAAAAGCCATTACTCTTTAGACCTCTTCCTGAAACAAGACATTTTACAGTTTGCTTTTATGCAGTTCACCTGCAAACCTATTTCTTTGACAGAGAATGAGCAAAGTGAGATTAGATGGGATTTTTAAAATAGAGTTAATTAAAATAATAAGCAACAGACTATTTTGCATCTACTAATTACAACCACTAGTACTTTTTTGTGAGAAATGTTTTACATACACACAACACAGCAGTATTCACCCCAAATTTTTAAGTGTTTTACAAATATTTTTCATTTCAAAGTTTCCCTGTTGCTTGGAATGTAGGGATCTGTACTCCTATATCAAAATAAAGCCATATATTAAGTAATATACAAGAGGGGACTTACACTTGCCACTTGCTGTGTTTTGGGATTAGATTTATGGATGATTACAAATAATGTGCTACATCATTTATTAGCTTAGGACATATTTTGGACTTACTTATATTTTTTACTTACTTATTTGCCTTTTTCTGATGGTATCTAAATTTTTTCAGAGATGATCTTTATTGCAGGAGCAATCCAGAATTGCTGCAGCAGGACCGAGTTAGTTGATGATAGGCAACATTTTGGGAAATAAAATCTATTCCTTGTTACCATAGGCATACTGTTGCAACCCCTACTCATTTGTTATGATTACCAAACTGTAAAAACAAATCCTAAGAAAAAAATCCTAAGAAAAAAAAATCAAATTAAAGCTATATGAAGAGGTTTGGTTCCAGTATTTACTCTGGAACTGGGAAAAGATGCCTTCAGTTTTTGATGGTTCAGTTTTTAATGTTACTCCCAGCAACAGCATCATTCTTTTTTGAGGAAGAAAAATTCCAATCTGGGACGTATAAAGAGATGCATAAAGCACTTTGGTAAGATGTCAGCTGGGATGCAAGATCCAGCTCTTATCATATCCAAATCAGAGAAGACCTGGAAAATGACAGAAGCAATGATTAAATGATATATTAACATGATTAAATATAGTTTAAAACACACAATATGATGAAAAATGAAAATTGGAATTGCTTATCAAGATGAGAAAACTTGCCAG